ACTTTCACAGACACCCGAGGTCCATCGGGCTGTATCTGACCCCCTTCACCTGTCTCTTGAGCAATCCCGAGATCTTAATGCGCGCGACATTTACAATGGCTTCAGACTCCTGTGTCTCCTCTCCTCCCGAGAGAGCCGTACTCTGAATTCCAGGGTCCCGTTCTCATCCGGCGGAGGCGATCTCTGGCGTTTCCCCGAGAGTCTGCCCCCGGTATGCCTTCATCACGTGCGCGATTCGCCAGGACCTGTTCCCCATGATTCCTCAGACAGTCCTTACTCTCTGGCCGGTCATGCCTGGCTGGTAGCGGGGCCGCCCCGAGCTCCCAGCTATGAAGAATGTGCGTGTCCTCTCCGCGCAGGAGAGCTGGTGGTCTCCTGCGGTAGTCTAACAGCATGCCTGTGCCTGCCTCAGTTGCTGGTGCTCACCTCCTTTTCCCATTTGGATCTTCCTCCTGCCTCTCCCATGCCTCCTCTATTTGCTGATATTATAATAATAATAATAACAATTGCTTACACTCATATAGCGCTTTTCTGGACAATCCACTCAAAGCTCTTTACAGGTAATGGGGATCCCCTCCACCACCACCAGTGTGATGATGCTCCAGTCCGCTCACACACACCAGCTCTCAGTGGGGAGGAGAGCAGAGTGATGAAGCCAGTTCAGAGAGGAGGGTTATTAGGAGGCCATGATTGGTGAGGGCCAATGGGAAATGTGGCCAGGACACAAAGGATAACACCCCTACTCTTTTAGAGAAACGCCCTGGGATTTTTAATGACCACAGTGAGTCAGGACCTTGGTTATACATCTCACCCGAAGAACGGCGCCTGTTTACAGTCTAGTGTCCCCGTCACTATACTGGGGCATTAGGACCCACACAGACCACAGGGTGAGCGCCCCCTACTGGCCCCACTAACACCTCTTCCAGCAGCAACCTTAGTTTGTCCCAGGAGTCTCCTCTCCAGGTACTGACCAGGCTCACACCTGCTGAGCTCCAGTGGGCTGACAGTGTGTGAGCTGCAGGGTGACATGGCTGCTGGCCTGATATCTTGTATACACCACCTGGTAACAGAGCGCCTGGCGGTCTTGCTCCCTCGGCTTCCCAGCCTGTGTTGCGCCAGGGGGTCGGCGCGCTCCGGCCCGGCCCGGCCCGGTTTCCGAGACGCCTTCTGCGCCGTAACTCCTGTGGAAATGAGAGAGCCGGGGCCAGGTTTCTCTCCCAGTGGGCCGCGCCACACTGCCTCCTTTGTCCATGAGCTGACGGCACACACTGACCGTTCCTTAAGAAGATGGATAGATCAGGCTTTATCAATCCCGTAGGGAAATTGACGAAACCCCTCTGTTCTACCGG